CCAGTCATCATTGCAGTAAAAGTTGTTGTATTTGAAGAAGGTGCAGCAGCAGTTATTATGTTAATATTATTGTTGTTGTTGTTGTTCTTGTTGTTGTTGTTGTTGTTATTGTTGTTGTTGTTAACATTAATGTTATTATGAAGATTTTGACTCCAACCAGTAGTAGTTAAGCAACGACTACCATTATTGTTATTATTGTTGTTGTTGTTATTACTACTACCACTATTAGGATTAGTATCATCAGAGATTTCTTCAATTATTCTATTGTTATCTTCTTCATCCGATGACGTACAATTATTATTATTTTCAATAACCATAGATCTAGGAATATTTTGAAAAGTTTTAATGGCTTTAAGATGTTTACAATGTCTTTCCAACATTGAGAGTAAATTAGCTTTTGTAAATGGCTTTGCTAAAATGTCATTCATCCCATGAGACAAATACTTGAAACACTCATCAGCCGCTATATTAGATGTCATACTAATAATTGGTGTAGTAATGTCAAATCTTCTTATTTGAGTAGTCGCCTCAACACCTAACAATGTTAATAGTCGTCAAGAGTTAGAAAATAAAATTATTTAGAAAATAAATGTGCATGTGTGCTGTGTTATATGTACACTTACCATCTAAATTAGGTAATACAATATCCTAAATAAAATATCAAAAGGGAATATTATTATTATTGTTATTATTGTTGAAACAAAACCTCAGTAATCTTTTGGTCGCCTTACCATTAACACGAGATCGTATTTTGCAAAATTCATTTTACGAACAGCACTTAACCCATCCACAGCAATATCGAAGGAACAACCAAAAATTTGTAAAAGTTTCGACCCAATGTTTTGATAAACAGCATCGTCATCAACCAATAAAACTTTTGGTGGAACTGACCAAGAAGGCACAAGAGTACTTCGCATAACATGCAATGTATCATTTGTTTTTCTGTTTTCAATAACACGTGATGTTGTCATAAAATTGTTTGTTGATGTTACTTTTGTTAAACTATTGTTCGATAATGCGGAAGATGAAGAGGCTGTTTTTAACGGTAAAGGTGATGATAACGACGACAATGACGATAAATGATTAGTATTCATGTTGTTGTTGTTATTATTATCATTACTATTATTATTATTACTGTTATTATTATTATTATTATTATTATTGATTAATCGTGTAGTAGTTTTTGATGTTTGTTTTGGTGTTAGATGACCTAAAGTGAAAATTGTTGAACCGTTACTATGATTGTTGTTGTTGTTAGATGGTAATATGGATGATGGTGTAATATTAGTAGTATTAATGTTATTACTAGTAATAATATTATTATTAATTGGAGATAATTGATTTTGTTGTTGTCGTTGAGATGACAAAACCATTTTCTCAAAATGTGAATTATTATTTGAAGAAGAAGCAGAAGAATAATCACCTATATCATTATTAACAGAGTTGTTGTTAAATAAATCATTGTTGGGGTTTTCACTGATACTAAGATTACTAGCGTTGTTAGATTCTATTGGGTGTGATGATGATTGATGATGACCATAATCAACCGATGAATTAAATTGCTGTTGTTGAAAATCTGAAGTAGGATTATTATTAGCAGCAGTTTCATTAATGATATTATTTGCCATGTTTTGTAGTAATTGAGCACGTTTGGAAATTTCATTCATTTGATCCATAGAAGCTTTCGTAACTTCAGTATATGAATCAATTAATCTTTGTGACTGTTCAGAAGGTACGAATGGAGGGGTAATTGAATTATTATTATTAGTGATCATGTTGCTATTGTTATTGTTATTGTTATTGTTATTGTTATGCCCTGTTCCTAGCGCTGCTGTTAACCCTTGAAGGTTGTTGAAAGGATGACCACCAGATGATTTTTCTGCAAATAGGTTTTTATATATTTAATATGTTCATTATATAAATCAAAGTCAACAATAATGATAATTTGCACAAACCTGCTTCCGAATTAACCACATATTGTATTAAACTATGCATTAATTGATCTTGAGCAATCATACTTTTTTGAAAGTTTAATAAATCTTGAACAACGTTATGATAATTTTTGTTTAAAGTTGTCAGATGTTCATTCATGGTATATTGCAATTTGGTTAAATTATTTATTCGAGATTGAAGCTCTGAAAGTTGAACGTTTTGTGAAGAGACATCTGTTATAGTGTTATTATTTAAATTTTGATTTTTCCTATTGTTGGTGACTTTTCTCTAAAAAAAAGAGATTATTGTTATTGTTATTATTATAGGTTGATATAAAAATATATTTTTTTTTTTAGATTTACTTTAATGTTATCCAATTGATCTTTTTTATTACATTGAAATTCTGGATGATGGAATTCCCAAGCCTAATAATATATTTTTAGAAAAATGCATACAAACGTAAAAACAAAAATCAATGTTATAAACAAAAGTATACCTGTTCACCATATGGAGAAATTGATTCATCAGAATTCCTAATTTTATGAAAATCATATTTATTAAGTTGCCTTACAAAACTTGCGAAATTAGAATGTTTGAAATGTCGAGGAAGAATTGTTTTAGTAAATGAGTCGATTTCCTTTGATAAAATAATAAGAATTAATAAAATAAACAAATTTGATTATTTATTAATTGTAAAATTACCTTGACAACAAAACTATTCCCGTTAACTCCCCAACAAACTATATCGCTATATGTATCATCTTCCAACATTCTATATGATCAATATCAATATCAATATCAATATTGCTTACTAAAATGCAAGTATAAAAAATCCAAGTGTTGTAATCTTACTTGTACAGTTTCTTTACAAAATCCGTACCTCCAGAATTACAATTATTCATATTTTTTTTACAAATAAAAGATAAATAAAATTAGATATAAACAATTTGTAAACATGTGCGTGAATTAAGATGTAACATAAAATTTTAAAGTTCATATTAATTCAAATCACGTGATAAAACACCTAATACTAAAAAAAAATTTATAGTCTAGAGTAGTCTAGAACAGTGTTGGAAATTGAGTGCGGGGTTTGTGTTATATAAGAAATGCGCACATTTTGTAATTATATCAGTCGTGGGACATGTCACAAAAATTTATTTCTACTGCAAAAACATAGTGAATTTTGATGATCGGCATCGAATTTTTCATATGGTGCAAGTCACTTAGTCGCTGAACTTTTTGTGCCATGACGCCAATTTTGAGAAAAAATATTCCAATCAAAAATGCAATAAAAAAGTTTAGTCACGTGTTTTTTGAAGAATGTCAAGGGAAGAATTTTATCCAAATATAGCTGGCTTGATCTAAAGACCTCCTAAAAATAGTTGGACGCAAAACATCCTAACATCCTTTTGTACAATGATGTAGTTTTTCATAAAATAAACTATTTCGTGGCCAAAAAACATATACATAAATAGACCA